CCCCTCTATATGCTCTTACCTGCTGTCAGTTTTGTCCCCACCTCCTCACACCTGTCAGTCATTCTCACATTGGCTTTTCTATTATAATTTTGTCATACTGAGCCTACTTTGCAAAGAAGTATCATTTCTCCAGACAATGAGGCTAGATTAAAGGACTGGGCAAAATAAGGTTTATAAGAGTAGTCTGTTGGGGCCAGCAGGTGGCATAGTGGCTAAGGAACTGAACTCTCACATGGTCATACACAGTTCGAGTCCTGGACCCACTGACTTGAAGATCATGCCAGACCCATGTGTATGTATGCCCAAATCCCAAAAGGAGAATGTAAGAGAAGGGATTGCAGCATGGCCCTTCACCCCCAGGGTGTGATTTGTCACTTTTTCTCTGTCTCTTTCTGTCTGGCAAGCATATGTGCCCTATAGCAAAAATCTAAAATTAAAAAAAAAATGTAATTTGTCTTACTTTATGCAAACTTGGTGAAAGTTCATATATGCAAACTCCGTTATTTGGAAGATTGCTGTTTTGTGACAGAATCATCCTGAAGCACAAATAAACATGCATATCTGGGAATTCTTTGCAAATCAAAAAATGATAAGGAAATTAGCTGAGTGGCCGCTATGCTGGAGACTCTGAACTAGTTACTTAATGTATGTTGTGGAACTTAATCCTCTAAGAATCAGGGAAGTGGTCCCATCCTCGTTTTGCCAAAAAGGTAGAGAGGCAATGAAGTTACCCTTTTTTTGTTTGGTTTTTGGTTTTGATTTTGCTTAAATTACAGTCACAGAGAAAACAAATGATTGAGCCAGAGTTATAATCCAGACATGGCTTAGGTAGTTGTCACCACTGTAACATAACCTTGAGGCCTGAAAGAAAAACTACATAATCTGGTCTGAGGCCAGGATGGAACAGAACAGAATTTTGTTCTGTCGCTTAGACTAGCTGCCACTGTTGGCTGTGTGACCCTGGGGTGGTCACAGAATCTCCCTTTGTCTGTTTTCTCTCATAGGTCAAAGGTGCGGGTGGAAGAGGTCAAAGCCTGCACCTGCTGGCAGATTGCCAAGCAGCCTCATCCCGTCCTGAACTCAGGACATACCAGGACCACCGAGGGGAGCACAGATCACCATGGGAACGATGCCCTGATGCCTACCCTGCTCTAGAACCACACGATTGGGTACATCCGCTGCTCAGCTTCTCTTCTTAAGGTCTGGGGACCTTGATTTCCTCCTTCCCTGCTCCTTTCTGACCATCTCTAAACCCCATTCATGTCTCCATGGGGTTTCCAAACCCAGGGGCTGTGTACAAACTTGAACCTGTGATATGCACTATTTGGGATTATCGAAGCCCTCTCGAAATGCTCACCCCGATTCTCATCCTATGGGAGATGCTCTTTGCCCAGCAGTTTCATTAGAAGGTGGGGGTCCCTCGCTGGCATCGGTGTTTACCTGCACCAGCTATGAGGTGCCAAATGATGTCACTGCTTTGTGACATCCTATGAGACTTTTGCAACCTATAGACGGTACTGCGGTAAAAGATGGTACAATTGACGCTGGAACACCCTGAGATCTGCCAATGAATCTGATGCCCACGTGTTGCCAAAAGCATTTATTGTCTCATAATTTGATTTACTTTTTTCCATGCTGCTCCCAGTGCCTGCAAGTAGGGGCAAAATGGCTGAGGCCTCCAGATGCCACGGAGGCTAATAAAGCTTGCTGTGCTCCCAGCATGCTCTCTGCTGTCAGAAACCGGCAATTAACTTAATAGGGTTCTTGAAATGGAGTCGATCCGGGAAATGTGGCATGTGTTGACACTCTCCCGCTGCTCCAAGCAGCCTCCCACCATTGACTTGCAGGGTCTGTTTGCTATTTGAATTATTTAGGAGCTTGTTATGTGAATTAAAAAGCAGCACTTTGCAGCATTAAGTCTAATATTTTATGATCTTCAATTGATTAGGTGGGCTTTCAGGATTACATGGAAAGGTTAAGATAAAACACGTCTCAGACAGGCGGCTCTCGCCAGTCTGTTTTACTTTTCAAAAACCCAGATGAAAACCCAAAAGAAGCCTGCCTCCCTTTCCCCTTCTAAGTGAGTCTTCTGGAACCTATTTTTGACCATCAAAGAGCTTTCCCACCTTGAGGACACCAGGTGCCCCGGTACTGAGGACCAGAAGGAGGCTGCTCCCCCATCCCTCTCCCTTTCTTTTGTCTTTCTCTTGGCACAAAGATGCCACTGTGAATGTGCTGCTCATGGGACTACATCCCAGGCCTGGGCCTGCACAGGGAGAACGCTGCTATGGGGGTTCCCAGTCACTCACTTGGACCTGGGATGGGCCTCACTGCCCGGCCTGCCCTTGGCCCAGAATGTGTGGCATGTGCCCCATGCAGCATGACTGTATAGACCGCCAAGCTCCAGAGCTGCCCTCCACCATGAGGCTGATTCATGCTCCCTGCCTTGCCAGCTTCCATCACCCTGTCCCCTGGCTGATGACAACGGTTTTCTACTGGGCTGCTCCCACTTCTCCCATTCTAATCAACCCTGTACTTTGCAGCCAGAAGGATCTTTGTAAGCCCCGGCTTTGGCCATGACGTTCCCCTGTTGAAAACCTCCAAAGGCTGGTCAGCCATGGTGTGCAGTGACGGTGCAATGCACCATGATGCCGAGGCCACGTGGGAAGGCCCAGGTTTGTGTCCTGGGGGCTCTTTGTTCACACATGTGTGTGTCCATGCCTGCTGGCTGAAGCTGGGGTGGATCATGGAGTAAAGACCCTGTTGGGGATGGCTCTCTCTCCTTTTCTCCCTCTCCTGGAAAAAATAACATAAATAAACACACACACATACATATCACAATTTCTTTAATCACTAGTCTATCAATGGATATCTATGTTGATTAATTCTTTCAATCCATGAAATGTCTTTCCATTTTGGGGTTTGCTGTCTTCTGTTCCCTTCATCAGTGTTTTGTAATACTCATTGTTGAAATCTTTCACAACTCTAATGAAATTTATTCCTTGGAATTTTATGTTTTGTATATGACTGTTGCAAATTTTTTTCTTAACATTTTTAGCCAGTTTGTTACTGGTGTATAAAACACTATTGCTTTTTCTATGTCGATTTTATATCCTGCAAATTTACAAAATTATTTTTACCTGTTTTAACAGGTTTTACTTTTTTATGATGGTTTTTATGTTTTTCTATATATTAGATCATGATGTCAAGAAACAGGGACAATTTGAATCCTCCCTTCCAATTTTAATTCCCTTTATTTCTTTTTCTTGGCCAATCGATATGTTGAAAAGTATTTTTAAGAGATTTTTGGAATAGGGTGCATGCATTCATTGAGAAGACAAAGAGAGACTGAAAGAGAGAAATCACTTCTCAGGGGAGATGGCTATGCCACAATCCCTATTCCTCCACTCTTCTCTAGAGATTTTGGGCACACACACACATGAACCTGGTGTGAGTTTCAAACCACTGGGTCCAGGACTCACACTGTAGTTAATCACGTGGGAATCCAGTGCCTTAACCACTGTGCCACCTGCTGG